TGGGTTTAAGCTAGAGAAAATGATAACAAACTAGGATCAGTTTAGTTGGCCATTATACTTTCCTTTAGGCTTAGTTTCAAGGAGGTTACAGGTTCAATTCCCCTTTGGGGGATTAAATTAAGGGAGTGTAAGCACTTTGGTGCCCAAAGGGTAGAGAGATTTTCTCTGATAGGTGCTAATCTAACAACTAACATTTGTAGATAAAAAATTTAAAAAAGCTAGAGAAAGTTATAAAATAGTCATAATTTTAAAATACTTCCGGTTTGTGACCGCCGTCATGGTTTCCACGCATGACTTCAGAGTATACTGATTAGCCTCAATATCAGTTTGCACCGCCATTTTTTGCTCCACCGACCGCATCGGAAAGTTCAATGGAGCAAAACCAGAGGTGTTTGGTTGAGGTTCACTGGCCACCGCACCAGTTATTTCTCTTGTGGACTCGTTCAGTTCTGGAAAGAGCGTGAGCAGACCACGGGAAGAGGAGGCCATGTTCTGGGTAGCTGGACGGGAAGAAGAGGCCATGTTGCTGAGTGTTTCAGAGACGGGTTGGTTACAGAACAGAGTATTACAGAGTTTCTCTCTCAGCAAAGGAAGAGTTTTTTCAGAGGATTTTCAGAAGGTTTTTGTCTGCCCCAGCCTCAGCATCAACCTTGGTTAAATAGACGGGGCAGCCACGCGTATCGCGCGCCATTTGACGCCAGACGACAAACGGGCGCGCCAGCCAAGGCACTCACGTGCCTCGCCATCATGTCCGGCACATCTTTTTATGACTTGGGCTCGCCTTTTGATGGCACGTCTTTTTATGGATTGGGCACGCATTTTGATGGCACGTCTTTTTATGGATTGGGCACGCCTTTGAAACCAGAGAACATTTTGCTTTCAAGCCCTCACAGTGATGCAGTACTAAAGATTGCTGATTTTGGTCTCTCAAGAATTTTACATCCTAATGATCACGCAGAGACAGTTTGCGGGTCTCCACTGTATATGGCCCCAGAAATTCTGCAATTTCAGCAATATGATGCCAAGGTTGACATGTGGAGTGCTGAATGTCCAGTCGTGTTCATGTCTTCCATTTTCCGAGCTCATCCCTTACGGTAATGCCAGGATGAGAGAGAAAGCTACAACACCCATCTCTTCTTTCTTTCAGATTCCTTTTCTCTCACAAGCATATGTCTCACAGACCCATCGTTCCTCACTCTTCTTCAATACCCTTACACACTCACCCTCTTCTATATATAGGAATCATGAATCATTGTAATAAATATCAACATACAACAATCAATAATACAATCAATAACTATACAATTCTCTATTTTTCTTTATACATTAAATTTCTACAACTTCTTTTGGAAATATCCATGTTTCTTAGCTCTCCACCTTGCCAGTTTTATTTGATAGCAGTTGCTTCTACTTGGTTTATGCTTGATAGAGCATACAGGTTGCTTGACTGATGGTGGTAATACCTTGTATATCTTATTTCCAGGAATTTTTAATTTTGCATTAGATGGGAATGCACTGAAGGCCATTGAACTGACAGAACAATTTGCACCTGACTTACTGGATAAAAACCAGGACTTGCATTTTGATCTTTTGAGCCTTCATTTTGTTGAGCTTGTCTGTTCTAGGAAATGGTGAGCACAATAATAATGATTTTTGCAAGAGCTCAAGAGTTTCACATCTCATTTTACTAAATTTACATTTCTTTGGCAGCACAGAAGCTTTGGAATTTGCTCAGACTAAGTTGACCCCTTTTGGAAAGGTGCAAAAATATGTTGAGAAGCTTGAAGTATGTATCTACCTGATGGAAATCATATTAAGAACTTCTAATTCATTTGATATGATCTTCATTGATATGAGAGATGTTTACTGCTGTTGCAGGACTTTATGGCTTTGCTAGCTTATGAGGAACCAGAAAAGTCTCCAATGTTCCATCTACTTAGCTTGGACTATCGGCAGCATGTTGCTGACAGTTTGAATAGAGCAATTCTTGGTGCATTTTTTTTCCTTCCTAAAATCCCCTTGCTTTTAAATTTCATATTTGTTTCTAGATTTCTGTTCTATCTTTTCATTTACTTTCCTTATTCCTGTAAAGACCATTTATTGATTCCTTATTATTGCTGTTTTCTTTTCTTTTTTTTTCTTTTTAAATGTTGTTACATGGAACTCTCTTATTTCATTCTTCCTCTGTGACTCACTGGAATACCAGCAAATGCCAACTTGCCCGGCTATTCAGCAATGGAAAGGCTGATACAACAGACAACAGTGGTTAGACAATGCTTAAATCAAGAAACTGGCAAGGTAGCCTAAAGTTAGTTCCTTCCCTCCCTCGCTGTCTCTGTGTGTGTGTGTGTGGAATTCTTGAATGCTGCTTATGTTAGATCATTTGCATTGAGATCTGAAGCATTCTTGAGTAACTCATGAGCAAATGTTTCCTTGTTATAATCATTGAAACTAATGCTATATCTTCTCCACCCTGTCAATTGATACTTATTGATTTGTTATCTTGTTTTATGTTGCCTTTTGATTAAATTGAGAACAACTTCACCAAATAAGAATGATTTTTAATGGTTCTTGGAATGATTTCTAATGGCCTATCTCCTATGAGGAGAATTAAAGGGAAGGGGAAGGTTCATATTGCTTAGGCAAGAATTTGAATTCAATTTTTGGTGTTGAAATGAAATTTAACTGTCTGATCTTTATTCTTTACTTCTGCAGAAATAGTTTTTCCTGTTATTTTATTTTAGGATAAATTACACTAACCTCCCTGGAGTAAACCCCACAAGTCTGGCATAATTACGTTGGGTTCTCTTAATTTTTTAATTCATATAACACTTAATCCCCTTTTAAATTGAAATGTATATTTTACCTTGTTGTTAGTGTAATTGTGCTAAAAGGGAGGTTAGTGTAATTGTGCTAAAACTGTGGGGCTTGCTGTTATTTCTTCAAACCTCAGGAGAGGTTATTGTAATTTACCCTTTTTTTTGGTTGTTTAGAGAAAGAGTTTGCAACTACTTTTTAGCATTACCCCAGCAATGAGCTTGCTTCTTGCTTCTTGCTTCTTGCTTCTTTGCTTGAAAGGTGGAACTTATTTTAGATGCTTTAATTGCAGCATAAGAAATATGAATGACTCCAAATGAGAGTAACGGGCAGGCATAGGGTGGATTCTTAGTCATGTTTGTGTGGTTTTGTAGGATGGCCTTCTGCCATTTTCTGTTAAGGATTTTTTGAAGAGCTAGTTCAAGGAAGTCTCAAAGCATTGTTGGCTTTGGGGTGATGATGGAATCCTTAATTTCACTCAGATCATGTTGCAATTATGGTTGGTTTTGGCGTAAAATTTGGTCATGCTTAGAAGGCCGTCTCGTGTATCTGGGTATTGTTGGCATTTTCATGGACTACACGTCCTTTGAATGGCCAAAAGGAAGGTATTATTGGCTTCAACAGATGGCCAGTTAGTTTTATCTTGATTGATGATAGTTTGGTTAAATCCACAATATTTCTTGTAAATGTTTATGTGAATTTAGATTATTGGATCTTTTACTATTTTGAGGTTTTGATATGTTATGAAGTGTGAATTCCCTTAACTTTCTGATGTAAGAATAATGCTAATGCTTTTGCACACTGTACTGCCTCCCTCCATTACGTATTTTTGAATAGATTGATATATTGAAGGTCATCATTTTGTTTGGGAATTGCATAATGTGTAGGACTACATATATTTAAGACTTGTGATCGGTTACTAGTTTTATGATATACGCCCAACATTAGTATCTTTTCTTGCATTGTTATTGCTTGTGATGCTTAATAAAATGGCTTGTTTCATGATGCTTGTGCCTCGTGTGTTGCTTGCACAATTTTGATTGTTTGAGCCCATGTTCTAACATTCTTGTATTTGCTTGCCTTTGCAAACTACCGAGAAATTTTTGCTAGTGGCATAATCAGCAAAAATGGCATGTGACAGGTGGTATCGGATGTTCTTGTTTTCGTCTACTGATTAAATGTGGGTGCTTAAAAAAAAAAAAAAAAACTAATATCCAGAGGACACAGGATGGGGCCCATTTTGGGTTGACCTTGGGCTAAAGTTGGATCAGTTGTGATGTTTCAGCTAGTGGGCTTCATTTTGGGCTTTGATGGGTCACCAATCCTGCGACGCACCTTTCACACAAGTTTGCTCAAGTCCACTTTTACATGGAATGTGAATTGAGCATGGCCATTGGTATAGTGAAAAAATATAAAATTTGTGAAAAAAGTAGCAAATTTGTTGAAGTTTAAATTCGAGCCCTGCAATTCCTTACCCTATTCCCGTCCTGACTGGGAAAAAAACCCCATGTGAATCAGTCTTCAGAAACCCGGAAAAATATTTTGCTTAGTTCTTTCTCGGGGGTAAGTGGATCGCAATCCATTTGTGTCTGGATGTTGCCAAACTTACTAATGAAGTTTCTTGTCTGTCTCAAGCCCACGTATCAAAAAACCTTTGCAAACTGTCGAAGTGACAACAATTTCTGGAAATCCCCCAGTTCCAAACTTATCCACACTGCTTTGTCTACAGTGACGTCACTCCTTCAAATCCCTGTGCCTTCTGCACGTGGCCTGAATCCTTCCCCCTTCTCTCTCTCTCTCTCTCTCTCTATATATATATATATATATATATCTTTATCTGTATCCCTATATTTGCTATCCCCTTTATGCCACCTGAGCTTGTCTAAAATTACATAAAATAATAATAATAAAATTTTCACAGCCGTTTGTGTAATAGAGAAAAAAACAGTGAGGCTTCACTCTTGACACGATCAAACATGTTGGTCTTGCCAAGTATCAGAGAGAACTCCCCAACAGACACGTATGCATCCTTCTTTAATTTCCCCCCCCTTCCCTTACCCTTCTTCTTGGTTCTACAAATACTGAAAACTCTTCAAGAGTTGGGGCTTATCAGTATCATCCTCAGCCTTCGAGCTTATCTGCTTTGAAAATTACAAAAACAACAAAAACAAAAAAAATGTTGAAATCTATGATGGGTACGGGAGAGAAGAAGCAGCAGCAGCAGGAGGCTAAGAATCCCGGAAACGCAACGTCGAGGAAAGGGTGCATGAGAGGGAAGGGCGGCCCGGAGAACGCTTCCTGCACTTACAAAGGTGTCCGGCAGCGCACATGGGGGAAATGGGTGGCCGAGATTCGTGAGCCCAATCGTGGGGCTCGCCTCTGGCTCGGCACCTTTGACACTTCCCATGAAGCTGCCATGGCTTATGATTCTGCTGCATGGAAGCTTTATGGCTCCGACACCAAGCTCAACTTGCCGCAACTATATGCTGCCACCACAGCGGTGGCCATGGCTCCTGCTTCTGCTGCTCCACCTCAGTTTCCAACCTCTTCTGCCAAAATCCCAATCAACCATGTGAAACAAGAACCGCATATTCAGCGAAGTCCGGGTAGCGTGGGGTCTTCGAATAGCGGTTTATCAGTGTTGAATGATAAATCAGTGTTTTGTGATAATAAGCCTGCTATTGCCTTCCCTGCTGGGGATGTTGAATTGCAGAACGATGAGAGAGTTGGCGTGAACGATATGGGAGCTGATGTGGTTTGGGGGAATTTGAATGCCAACTTGCCAGAGTTCGATGACGACTCCATATGGGCTGAGGCGACAGCGACAATGGACTTTCCGGCGATGACAGAGCCAGGATTCTTCGAGAAGGGGAAGGGCTGGGAAGCCACACAGTACCCTTGGTGATACTGAAGCTTCCCAAAAATATTTAGTATAGCATACTATGTTGTGAATAATACAGCATATATATCACCAGAAAAAGGAGGGAGAAAAAGAAGAAGAGTAATACATAAATATATGTGAAGTTTATGTGAATATGTAGTTTTCCAGTCCAGATACAAGACTGAATGATGTATGTAATGCAAAGCATGCATTGCTTAGCTTGTGTAGTTTTATATGCTTAAATCAATCTATACTAGTTGAAATTTGCGCAAAGTTTTAGCAGGTTGGAATTTGATATTGGAGTTCCCAGTAAATTTTCTTTGTAGAATGTGTTCTATTGAGACTGAAAGAAAGAGCTTTTTAGGACATATTGCTTAGCAGAGTTAAATTTTCAAAATGGTCCCCCTTTACGGATATACGAGAAAGTCAGGAAGGAGCACAAACAGAATAAAAAAAAGTCTAATTAGTATTAATGTGTATTTGAAAGGAAAAATATTAAGTGTACATTTAACCTTTCACACAATAGTACAGAAAACATCCTTCTTGCAAAGCAGGAGGCCACGTAGTCCAATTATAAAGATATATATATAGAGAGAGAGAGAGAGAGAGAGGCAGCTAGCTGCAAGCCAATGAGCAGACCCCTTTCTCTGTAATATAAATTTCAGAGTGAAGCAAATATGTAAAAGAATCACTGCGAGTGCTAACACTGCTGTCACTAGTGTTTATTGCTTAATTTGATAAGTATTGGTATGTACTATCTGTCAATCTATTGCTAATTGTCTTCTTGGTAACTCTCTCTATAGGTATATATCACGGCTTTGTCGTTGGTAAATTTTTTTGCAGAATACACACAAAGACACATCACAGAACCAAACCAAACCAAACCAAACTAAACCAAACCAAACCAAATTAAATTAGGTCTTAAATCCCATCAAATAGGATCGGCTACATGAATCATTCTTATCCACTCGACTTTATCCAAGGCCATTTCGTTAATCAAATTAAGAAGATTTATATATCTATTTATTACATTAGTCCACGTTAATCTAAATCTATTCCTTCACTTAACACCACCATCTATCGTTACTGTATTACATCTCTTCACTACTGTCTCTGTTGGTTTTCGTTGTATATGACCAAATCATCTCAATCTATTCTCGTTCAGCTTATCTTCTATCGGTATTATTCTTACCCATTCTCGAATATACTTATTTCTAACTTTGTCTTTTCTAGTCTCGTCACACATCCACCTTAGTATCCACTTTAGCATCCTCATCTTAGCAACACTCATTTTATCTATATGTTATTTTTTAGATGCCCAACATTCTGTCTCATATAATATCACTAGTCTAATAGCCATTTTATAGAACTTCCTTTTTAGTCTAATGGGTACTCATTTATCGCACAGTACTCCGACGCACTCCTCCACTTAAACCATCCCGCCTTAATTCTGTGGTCTACTCCAATCTCTCCAGTCGTTGTGATAATCGATCCTAAATAACGAAAATGTTTACTCTTAGGTAGTTCTTGGTTCTTAATCTTTACTTCTCCTCTGCTTCCATTGTGATTGTTACTAAAATTATACTCCATATACTCTGTCTTAATTTTGCTTATCCTAAATCTTTTAAATTCAAGTGCTTTTCTCCAAATCTCCAACTTAATATTAACTCATTCTCTAGTCTCATCCACTAACACGATCTCATCTGCAAAGAGCATACAATATTGTACATCATTCTGAATATTGCGTGTCAACTGATCCATAACTAAAGCGAGAGGATAAGGACTTAAGTTTGATCCTTGGTGTAACCTTACAGAAATTGGAAATTCAATCGTTTCTCCAACATGCGATCTAATAGTGGTTACCACACTTAAATATCCCTAATCATATCAATGTAGCCTTTTGTCACTCCTTTCTTCTCTAACACCCACCAGATTATATCCCGATGCACTCTATCATATGCTTTCTTAATATCGATAAAAACCATATGAATGCCTTTTTTCTTTCCTCTACACTTTTTCTATTGCTCTCCTTAAAAGATAGATCGCTTCCATTGTTGACCTATCAGGCATAAACCCAAATTGATTTTCTGACACTTCTGTTATATCTCACAATTGGCGTTCTATCACTTTCTTCCACACTTTTATTGTGTGACACATTAATTTGATTCCTCTATAGTTGTTACAATTCTGAACATCTCCTTTATTCTTATATATTGGTATTAAAATACTCTTCCTCTACTCCTATGACATTTTCCTAGTCAATAAAATCTTACTAAATAACCTAATCAACCAAACAATCCCTTTCTTACCCAAACATTTCCACGCTTCAATAGGTATATCATCGGGTCCTAAAGCCTTATTCAATTTCATCTTTTTAAGTGCAAACTCCACTCCAAAGTCCTTAATCCTACGATAGAACCTATAGTCTTGGTTTTCCTTATTACTGCATACTTCCTCCCCTTTTGACTTTCCTCCATATTCCTCATTTAACAACTTCTCAAAATAATTTTTTCACCTCTCCTTAATCTCTTTATCCTTCACCAACATCTTAGAGTCCTCACCCTTGATGCACTTAACCTAATTAAAATCTCTTATTTTCCTCTATCTTATCTTAGCAAGTTTGTATATCCTATTCTCTCTCTCCTTACTATCTAGTTTAGTGGTCATCATAGACTTTCAACTTAGTTTCCCTCACTACTTTTTTGACCTCCTTATTGGCCATTTTATAGTGCTTGATGTTTTCCTTAGTTCTATCATTTTGTCACTTTTTAAAACTATTTTTTTTTTGTCTTTATTATCACTTAGGTCCCTTTCTTTTCGACTCTCCAAGAACTTCCTTTGAGATTCTTCTTATACAATTGGCTATCGAGTTCCACATAGTATTAGCATCATCTTCCAAGTCTCAAGTACCTTCTTTATCCATTCTATTTTTAAATGTATCTAGTTTATCTCCTTTTAGGTCCCACCATCTAGTCCTGCAATATCTACTATCTTTTCGAGTTTGGTGTTGCCCTTTAACGCATAAATCTAGTACTAAAATCCTATATTGAGACGTCAAACTCTCTTCAGGAATCACTTTACAGTCGCTGCATTTTAGACGGTCCCCTTTTCTTTCTAGAAAGTAATCTATTTTGCTCCTAATTGACCCACTCTTGAAGGTTATCATATGTTCCTCTCTTTTCTTATACATAGTATTGGCCACCACTAGGTCAGAAGCCAACGCAAAATCTAAAATACTCTCTCCAGCCTCATTTTAATCACTAAAACCATACCCACCATGCACCCTCTCATACCATAGTTTATTTACTCTTACATGGCCATTGAAATCACCACCAATAACTAGGTTTTCTCGTACAGGTATCTCCTGTAATACCTCATCCATTTGATCCCAAAAAACTCTCTTAGTCTGATCATCTAATCCTACTTAGGGGTGCATGCACTAATAACGTTCACTATATTCTCTCCAGTGACTAGTTTAACTAATATAATCCTATCACCTTTCTTAATGACCTCAACTACATTTTCTACAAGACTCTTGGCAACTATTATTCCTACTTCATTCTTGTGTCTATCCTTGCCACTATAATATAGCTTAAAATTGGTATCCTCTATTTCCCGAGCTTTCTCACATGTCCACTTAGTTTCTTGTACACAAACAATATTAACTCTCCTCCTAATCAGGACATTTACCAATTCCATAGTCTTACTAGTTAAAGTTCCTATATTCCAAGTGGCTACCATAAACCTATATCTTGGACTAGCTTCTTTATCTACGCTCGTCCAGATAAATGCAAAAACGTTTCCTATTTTTTACCACATCCAGGCATTGATGAGGTGTCCCTTACTCACTTTTCGAAACACCCAGAGGTAGGCGCAATACGTCACTTAAGGGGAACGACCTAGTATTTAATCGATTCAAGGTATTAGGTTTCATGTCATAAAGGATCCGAGCGGTTTTTTTACATGTTGACTGTCGGCTACCTAACACAAGATTTTGAAAAACTAAAGCTAAACAACAAGAGGGAAGGAAATTGAAATGAATTTCTCATCACATTGTAGAGTTCCTGGGATGATTTCCAAGATCCACCAAAAGGAATTAGCTTTGACAGCATATCCATCTTGACTCTGATGGCAACTGAAATAGGCACAAGTCCTGTTCTTAATGCAAAAAATGTAATACAAAGAGATGCATATATTTATGGATTACGTGCTCTACTTGTATAGTTGCATGCTTACATTAATTTATAACAATAGAATATTTGGAAATGTTTATAAAAAAAAATGAATATAAAAATTGCTCGTATTTTTGCCTTTTTAAAGTCAATCGGTCGAATTTGTGGTCTTCCATTTTTTTCCCCAATCGGTGAGATTCCCTCAGTTTTGCATCATGTTTTTTGGGATCACGTCACTCGTACAAAATTCATTTGTCAATGCCAACAAAGTTGCAAAATTACTATTAGTTACTTGTCACAAGTATTCTTAATCATTTATGAATTTCCTTGTTTGATAATACAATCAAATGAAGCACTTGAAAACTAAATTTCATATTTTTTTTTTGGATTTTACCGTATCAACGTACCTGTATTGTACCCGGTTGTACACGTGCTTCATAAATTTCTAACAATAGAATATTTGCAAATGTTATAACAATAGAATATAAAAAATGCTCATCTTTTTTGAGACAACTAGTTGGATTTGTAATCTCTCTTTTATTTTTTGATCAATCGGTCGGAATTGTCTTCATCTTTTTTATTTTTCAATCAGTGAGATTCCCTAAGTTGTGTTGTTTTTCGAAATTACGTCACTTAAACAAATTTCATTTGTCGGTACCAATAAAACTGTAAAATTACTACTAGCAATTCATCACACATATTCGTAATCGTTTCTAAATTTTCTTGTTTGATAATATAATCAAATTAAGCAGTTAAAAACTAAACTCCCTATTTCTTTTTATAGAATTTATCGTATCGACGTACCCGTATTGTACTAGTATTCATTGACGTGCTTCATAGATTTATAACAATAGAATATTTAGAAATGTTTATAACAACATAATACAAAAAAATGCTCGTGTTTTTGTCTTTTTTAGATCAATCAATTGGATTTGTAGTTTTTTGGGGAGAGGTCAATCAGTCAGATTTGTCTTCTTCTTTATTTTTTATTTTATTTATTTCAATCCACAAGTTTCCCCGAGTTGTGCCATGTTTTTCGGGATTATGTCACTTATACAAATTTCATTTGTCGATG